TGAGGATCTTAAAAAAAACTAATAATGTAAGAAAATAATTCACGATTATCAGAGATAATTTTTGCATTATTGTCCTAAAACTTTAATAAACACTCATAATTTACTTATGACTGTACATTACTTTCAAACACGATTGCTTTTTAAAAATAAGCACCTTTAAATGTTAAATATATGTTAATTACAAACAAACGTCGCTGACTGGAATAGCTCCATGAACAAAGAAAATCTTACTCTACCCTATATATAATACAATATTTTTATATTTTATACATTAAGGGAAGATCCTGATTTAGAAATAGGGCAAAATTAGGAACTTTTTTTTATAAAAATATAACTATAAATTTTAGGGGTATATGTTGTGATCGTACTCGCGAGCACAGCACAACTTCGTCGCGTTTAAGAAAAATACAGAAAATTAGAATCAGACTACAATTTCGCATACAGAACGACATACGAAAAGGACCGCTCAGCTGTGTAATAGATGGGTGACTCTCATGAGTGGGGAAAATTGGAGGGCGAGAAAGATAAGAGATATCAATCATATCAAATTACATATAACAAATAACAATAATGTATTTGAGAATTACGCGATACAATACGTCGATCATAACATACGAGTCGTGTAATACCAAACACGGCAACAGTGGCGCATACAATGTAATGGCGAGCACTCTACGCGCGAAAGAATATCAGAGTCGATAGAATATGAGCTCGCAAGGAAGTGAATAATTAAGTCTCATACAAACATATAGCTCTCGCACAGTCAGATAAAGATTCTCGCCCTTAAAAATTATTTCTCGACTAAGCTTCTGAGCGTGAACAAGAAGTTATCACGCGGTAAATAATCGTTTCGTTCCTAATGCATAACAAACACAATAAGATAAACTCATCGCATGAACGCTACCATTACATACACGCAATTAAAAGAAACGAATGACTTGTCGCATCATTATATCTATATGTATAATTATTAGATATTATTAATAATGAAAAGTTGTTTTTAAACTCTTAATGTCGGGCAAGTAAGAATCACTTTAAAACATAAGCATAATACAAACTAAGTTCTAATTTTGTGGATAGATATCTATTAAATATATTTCTTTGTGTTTTTTTCGTGTAACTTAACCACGTATAATTAGTTTTTAAAAAATTTGAAAGTTTAAATTAAAAAAAATTTATTTATACAATTTTTTAAAACGTTTTATTTATTATTATATTAACAATGTTAATTAAATAATTTTTTTTATTATAAACAAAAAAATAGCATTTATATTAATTTATCGTTTTCTTCCATATTTTTTTAGTTCACATTTTTAAAGGTATCGTTGTATCCAACTAGTACTGGCGGATTTGACTATGTACATTCATTCTGGAACACTGGTACTTTCAAATAAATGACTATTTCAGTGTAAAACCTTGTAAAATTTTTTAGTTATTCATTATTATATTTATTTTATTTTAAAAAATATGCATAATTAATATTACATATCTTTTGAAAGTAATAATATAAATTCCTTTTAAAGGAATCACAATGAAAAGCCATTTAGAACATTATTTAATCCTCTTATATTTTCTATTATACGTGTGTTCAACTGTTTCAGACCAATGTGTGCACGCGCGCGTGTGTGTGTTGTATGAATATCTGTGTGTATAAGAGTACCGCGAAATCAGTCTTCATCGGTGTGCAATGAATAACGAGCAAATAAGTGATTGTCATTTTGTGTTACTTGATTATATTCTCTTTATGCAGGATAAAATTTTTGTTTAAAATATTTTTTTATATTTCACGATTTTTACTCAGAAATATGCCAAATTAATTTCAGCATTACACGCGGAATTGAATTTGTCAAAAATACATATTTTTTATTTTCTTTACATTTGAATTACATATATATAAACGGAGGGGAATATTTTCAAAGATTCTCTCTTGTTTCATATTCATGTACAAATTCACATAAATCTATTACTATCTGTAATGGACATAATGGCATGCTCCTGAGTGATTGCTGCGAGCTCTTTAAGCCATTCATCTAATATGACAGAACATAGTACAACATTTTGCACTGGGCTTACTTCATTCGGTGATTCCCACGAAGTTTTCGTATATCTATTAAAGAGAAGAATATGTAACTATATTGCATTCTATTTATTCATTCACTTATTCACTCATACTCGTGGGATTAAAATCATCTCCAACATAATTAGGTCTTAGTAATAGATTTAGGGTAATTTTTCAAATATTTAATGTGAAAAATGTGCTTATTTCCGATTTCTGTTAATAAAGCTTTGACGTCGACGTTGACACCAATTATTTTCAGATAAGGAATTTGATAATTGCAATTTATTTAAAATTTAGTTTTGATTTCTACTATCATTAAAAATCCAACTTTACATATGCACAAAGTCGTAAAAGAACAGACATGCGCAAGCAAATTTGTATAAATTTGTATTGTAAATTTGTACGCGAAGTAACGAAGTATAATTTAACGTTCTGAACATTGCGATAAAAAACTGACTCGATACTTTGGGAATCCCTGACCTAGATTTTTCTTTTGATATTATAATTACTATAAAGTACAGAAATCTAAGACAATTTACCTATATCCAGATCCAACTATTTGTAACTGATCTTCTGATATACTGGACGGCTGATTGATGGAATTTGTTAGACTTGGACCTAAACCGCCACTTGATCGTCTGAACATTTGTGTGAATGATGATGTCAAACTTTTCCTTTTTGGTTCCCCTATAAATACAAATGATATAATAATTTGAAATTTACATATATAATATACGAGCAAAAATATTTTATATCAATACATACATCTTTTGAATACTTCCAGTGTGCACAAAATTTTAAAAGATATGATAATTAATGTAGTTGTGAAGTTATAAAAAGGGCAAAAGACGCGAAAATGAGAAAAGAATGAGATAAATGAGAGAATAGAAAAATAAAAGAGAAGAGAGTCAATGAGTAAACGATTGCAGTACTGAATCCAATGTTTATATTCTTTTTATGAATAATAGAAAGATATATTTAATTCTTAAAATATATTCATGAAATAAATAGTACCTCTTGAGAATGGTTCACTAGTTAAAGACTGTCTTTTAATAGATGACGATTGCGCAGCAGCTTCTATTACATTTTTCCTCGCATTTACTAATTTGTTTTCTCGATTAATCAGAAATATTTTTGCTTGTTCAACTAATAAATCCACGTTGTTATGTTTTGAAAGAAATTGATCTATTTTATGTTTTAATGACGCAAGCACCTGCAATATAAATTATTAAAATATTATTTCTCTTGATTTCCATAGCGATCTACAACATCTAAATAATAAAAATAGTACTGTTCTTTAGAAGAAAAACTCAAACAAATTAGATTAAAATCAATGTAAGTCTGCAAACACGGATAGTAATGCAATATCATTGCATAATGCATAATCACAAATGCAACAACGATAAGTACCTGAAACAAAGACTTGATGCTGGGTTGAAATACAAGAGAATGGTTTAACAGAAACGATTGCAGTAAAGGTTGAGAATATATTGCCAATCTGCTGATGAGGCCCGTGAGATGTAAATTGACATATAAATTATTGCTTGTCATACACTCGAGTTTTCGTAAAATCACATCTAAAAATATACCAACATTTGGCTGTCCGTTAAACACGTCCTGTCGGTACAAAGGATCTTTATTTAATTTATTCGACGATGTTTCCACAATTATTGAAGGGTTTGATTCCGCGTCATTACGCATAAGGACATCGTCAATCTCTTTTTTAATTATAATGTGCGTTTCTTCATGTTCACTTATCCGATCTTCACTGGTTTCCTTATCCGGTGTTGACTCTGGCGATCCTTTAAACGCAAAGCTTTCGTAGCCGCTACTTTCACCTAGTGATATAAGTGAATTCATTGCCGTGGTCGAGTCTTCTATGCAGCTATCGGATTCTTTTTTATTAAAACTGATTTCCTCTGTACATTCTGTCATTCCAATGTTTTCGTTCAACAACTCTGCAATATCAGCATCTAATTGTGCTTGTTCATCAAGAGACAATGCAATATCCGTGTTCAATTCGTTTTTAAAATTACGTTCATTACTATTTAAATCTTTTCCTTCCAATAAAGATTGAATATTAAGTAACACATTGTCCAATGGTGCATCATTATCATTTTCGCATGATTTCATTGCATTCTTAATCATTTCCAATGTTCTAGATCCTTCTGCCTTTTTCTGTGATTGATCAGATACAATATTTTCATCTATCAATGTAGTCATGCTAATATTACTATGTTGAGGTAAATTACCATCATATTGGCAAGACCAATTGGAACACGCAATACGGCAAGCTTTAATTTTTTGTCTGGCATCACAGAGATATGCATGATAATTTCCATATAAGCTATCTGATAATCTAGTACCATAATTTATCGATGCTGGTAACGATTTCATAGAATCAGATGTGGTGCATCCATATTTGTCGTATGTAGATAGTACGACGTTAGGTAAAGAATTTGTTTGCGAGTCCATTGGCGTAAATACAGAACAACAATGTGGTGTTAAAGATAAAAATTTTTCTGCCGCTCGTCCAAAAGGATCTACATCTCTCAGTCGACTACGTTGAGAAAGCATTACGTGTGAACACGGATTTAATGCACCCAAACACAATTCCAACATGATATCTTCGCAATTTAAATTAACTAGAGTTTCAAACAACGCCAGAGTAACTATGCATAACTAAAAACAAAATGTTAGAAACAAGTTTATATCTAAGAAATATTCTATCAGATTCATAATTTACCCTCGATCGAGAAGAAATCCTTTGTATTAGGTAATCTAATATTCTACAATCTTCATAATTATCTTCTAACAGAAATCTAACGAGCGATCGCAACAAGCCAGGATCAGTTACAGATCGAAGAAACAAATCAAAATAAGCTGTCGCTGTGACCAATTCTTCCACGGTCGTCTGTAATTATTTTCAAAGAATTAAAATAAAAGTTTAATACCTTTCAATTTCTGCTCTACAATGTGATAAACTTCTAACTCTCTCATTGATCAGATGACAATAGATATGTTAACACGTTAATCGTCAATACGAGAGTTGTATTATTTATTTTACGTGTAAATATTATACATTTCTCTCCGTTCTCTAACACGGATAATTTTTTTTAGTAATCACTGTACTTGCAATGAAGTTTAGTTAGAATCATTTGATAAAATTTTATAAAATAAAATTTTATTTAAAAATGTTTTGTCATAATATTAATAGAATATATTAATAATCACCATTATATACATACCCTTATGTGATAGTATATTATAAAAATAAATAAATTTTTTAATACTCATATAAATTTAACATCTTATAATTATTTAAAAAATGAAAAATAATATATCTCTTGTAAAAATAAAAAACTATTTACGTTAATAATATCGAAATATTAATATAAAAATTTAATTATGAAATTTTTATATATAATTGCTCTTTTATGTCTTACTAAATCTACACTCACTTGTAACA